CGGTCTTTGAGGGGTTTCATCTAGGTTGCATCTGTTTACATTGTGGCTGAGTGTACTACCTGTGCTGTGGGGTTTGGACTGAACAGGGCGGGCTGGAGAGAACAGGAACTGTATTCTTTGGGAAGCTGTTGAAGCTATTCAAACCATGATCTTACGGATGCCCAGAAGAGACATGGAAGTGCAAAGGTGTGGGTCAGCATGCAGTACATCACCGTCTTTTGCAGTTACCAAACAGTCAATGTGAACTCAACTGTAACCAATTAATTACTGTTGAGGATGAACGTTTGATTTCCAGGTCCCATAGAGAAGGCTGGTACCATTAATTGGTACTTCTGTGACTATCGCAGACTGTTTCATGTACTGCAAGACTGTGGTCTGCTCTCCATGATACCAACCTGTCATATACTTCTACCTGTGAAAGATGCCTGTACTGAAGCTGATACTAAATTACCTGCTTGCATGGTTTTGAGGCTGTGTTTCATTTGCTGCGCTGCGGTCTGTAGCTTGAAAACTTGCTGATAAAGTCTCAGGATGACTTGAGTGAAAGAGGCAAAGATTTTCCCTGATTAAGTGGATGCTTTTGTTTCTATTTCAGGAAAGCCCCACAGCATTGGCAGTTCGGAACGGATTCAGCTCTCAGGAATGTACAATGTTCGAAAAGGGAAAATACATTTGCCAGTCAACAGATGGACAAGACGCCAAGCTATCCTTTGTGGAACATGCCTAATTGTCTCATCGGTAAAAGAAAGCCAGACTGGAAAGATGCATGTCCTCCCTTTAATTGGTGGAAAAGTAAGATATTTTTTGTATTTGCTTGCTTAACCCCTATCTCTTTACGCAGAGAAGATTGCATTCAATTATGGTGATTCTTAGCCCCTCAAAAGCTTGTTTCTGTAAATGGGGTTATCAAAGTATATAAATGACTTTCGATTATGGTCAGAGTCATATTTAACAATTTACAACCTCAACCATTCTGTGATTCTGTGAAACTTTAGTAAAGACAGTAAGATTACAACATTGCTATTTCAGTCTAAAGAGTGTTTCAGAACACTATTATTGGCTTGATTAGCCGAGGTAATGGGAAGAGGATCGTTAGCTTGAGGATGAATTTACACCTGAAGTAATGCTCTTTTACCTTGCATACTGATAAATTTGGTTCTTAAGAGTCATTGGGAGAGAAACAAGCTTCACAATGTTATATATGCAGTCTAAAGTTGATTCATTAACATTCTATACTAGCAATGTGGAAAGTAGTCCCTTCTTCTAGGAGCCGTTTTTCCTATCTCCTTTCATGATTCTTCACATGATTCTTCAACTCTTCCCTGGAGGTACTGAAGTAAAGACATTTTCCTCTCTTAGCAGCAGTGGCTGAACTCTGACAGTGAATTGTATTCCTGGCTGTAGCACACTGGAGAGGACAGGATTCAGGTCTCCATTGGCCTTCTCTTTAAGATGAAAAAGATTTTTATTCTTTTTTAAATTTAAAAAGAGAAGAGATTGTGTACCTTTTTAAATTGCTTAACATGGAATTTCTAAGTTGTTTTTGCACAGAAATGCCTCGTGTAATGTAAAACATGCAGACTGTGTTAAGCAGTAAGTTGACAACAAATGTTAAAAGAAAAGGAGAACCATGCTGAGAAAAATGTACCGAGGGCTTCTGCTGACAAAGCTTGGGAGGAGGATGCTTGGCACAGAACTAAGTGGTTTTTAAATTATCGCTCAAAAAATATTCTTCCTCAACCCCATAAATACTCTGCACTTCCTGGTTTGCAAAGGCTTTCCAGAATGCGGTGCTGAGACATTGAGACCATAAGTTGTGTGGGATTTCGCGTGTATGGTAGCAGAATGATGTATTCTGGGTGTGTTTTAGCAAGTTGAGAAATGCCAAAGAATTTAATTGGGCTGTAAGAGAAGCATTTTGTTAAGCCTGTTTTTAATAACCAGGAGTATAAATTGTACTTCTTTAGGCTGTATAAAGACAGCCTTAAATGTGTTTCACTGGGAAGCCTTTTATGGTGCTCAGTCTCTCTTAAAATGTTGATGTTCTTAGTGTTTTTCTCCTTTGGTTCCTTCATCCTTCTGTTCTCATTCCTTGCTTGTGTAGATTTCATGAAAGTTTGACAGTCAAGATCCAGCTTGAGTGCTTGAGAGGGTTAGTCCAACTCTACTTGAAGAGCTCCTCTTGGGCACACTTTAACTTTGCCCTGGGGAGTTCTGCAAAGAGGCTTTTGACTCTTGTTCACTAACAGTTTTGTGTCTCTGCTGTAGGTGGAAGAAGTGAAAAAGCACCAGCACTGTTTAGCATTCAGCTCCTCTGGACCTCAAAGCCAGACCTACTACATTTGTTTCGATAATTTCACTGAATATTTGCGATGGCTTCGACAAGCATCAAAGGTGAGGAGAGTGCTAATTCCTGCCTGAATGGGGTGGTTTTTAGTGTTTCCCTCAGTTCTGTGTTCTCCATGCAGTGATATAGTCATTCCTCTGGGTTTGTTATCATGAGCTGCTGCTGCTGTTAGCGGTGCACAAAAAAACCCTCAATTTGGGAGCTCTTGGTAACAGGCAATAGGGAGGTGAATTTTTCTGTGTTTATACTGAGACTTCTTTCTACCATGGCTGTGTAAGCAAAGTGCTGTGCTGGACTTTCTCCCTTTTCTTGTCATGATCCAGCTGGACGGATGGAGTTGAGACCATTAGAACAAAAAGGGTGGCAAATACAACTTTCAGAATTTCAGTTTTAAAAGCTTTATTTCAGTGTTAATAAAACCTAAAATAGTGTCGATTCGATTTTTAAAAAAATTCATTTAAAGGTTAAATTGCTAGAATTAAGGAATTTTTTTTCTTGCTTGGAGATGTTGCTGAATCTCTCTTTAGTTTTATAACTATTTGATTTTGGGTTTTTTTTTAATAAGCAATCATTTTATGTCAGTAAAAAAAATACTAACTAAAGCCTTCGTAAACTAAATTTTATACTGTGCTTAGAGCACAATTTAGTATGGGAATTTGTCTTGCATTATTTTGTTTGACTCTTCAGTTTCACTTTGTGTTGTTGAAAGGTTGTTTTTGCAATTACCTGTTTTATCTCTTAATCCCTGCCACTTTTTTGATAAATCCTCTCTAAAGTAATTTATGTATCTTGAACCACTGTTTTTTTTATTTTTAACACGCAAGTTCTTTTACTGTGCTGTCAGTTGGGCCTAAACTGTCCATTAGTTTTATACTTCATAGAGCTGTCTGTTCATGCTCTTTGCTTTGTTAAAGCAACTTGGTTTTATGTAGTACTACTTAAAGATATTTATGGCACACTAGATCTGTTCTGTCTTTTTAGATTCCAATAATGTATTATCCAGCCTATTGCCAGTGGTACAGCCTGGGTTGTGGGCTTTTTTAAGAGGTCTGATTATTATGTCAAACTTCTTTTGAGCAGTAACTATTGCACCTCCCAACACATGCATCATTTAAAATGTCCTTTAGGTTTTTTTCTAGTATGTTTTAAAATTCTTTTTAAAGACGCTGTTCTGGCATCCCCGCTCAGGTCTGTTAAGCCTCAAGGTAAAAATCCCCAAGGCGTGTTTTATGAGACGGTGAGGCATGGTCTGTCAGGTTTTTGAGTTCTTGCTGCTTTGTGGCTCTCTCTGGGAGAGTAGTGCCCTTTCATCTCTAGAGGCATTGACATCAGATAAATGAAAGGCAAATCTAATGAGTGAGAAAAACAGTGGAAAACAATGAACTTCAGAAGTAGAGATAAATGGCCAGAAAGCCCTTCTGAATTACTGGCAGCATAAGCTTGTTCTGTGCCATGCTGTGCTTCTCTCTTTCTCTCTGGTTCACCCAAATGACTAACAGCATTGGGACGATAGCCAGCATGAGAACATATCCCATGCACTCATGATATCCTCTCATTTTTCTTATGTAAGAGTAGAAGGAAAATACATAGTTTCAAGTGTCTTTTCAGACTGTCAGAACTGAAGAAACTCGCTATGCTATTCTTTTTGTTGGTAAAACATGCTTCGAGGAAAAAAAAAAAAGATGCTTCGTTTTCCCCAACTTCCCAGCCCCCAAAAAAAACTGGATGTATGGATTTCGAAACAGTACTTTGCCACTTCAAGTGCTTTTTTAATGTTTGGGTTTTCTATCCTTAGACTGAAAAACAGAGACAAGCATGTTTGTATGCAAGGTAGTTGTGTGGGAAGTACTGGGCAGTAACACTGCTTCTGAAGAACAGAAATGGAGAAACTAGTAATGCCACAAAAGTAACTCAAATTTCCTCCAGCTGATGCTGTTCGTGTCCAAGTGCTTAATTGTAAGGTGCATCATCCCTGATTTACATGTACAAATAAATGAGAAAAAGTTTCATCTTCAGCTCTGTAGTTCAAGCAAGCTGGTGTTCTCACGCAGGAAAAAAACCCCAACATTCATATGAGGTACTCTGCCTCAGGTGCTTGGAAGCTGCTCAAGTTCAAAGAAGTTGAAATGTTCTTGCTAACCAAGAAAATACCGTGTAAAGCATTGTATGTCTAAAGGCAAGCAAATTTAGGAAGGGAGTTTTTATGGCTCTCTAACGCTGAGCTTCTAGTTTCTTGTTATGGGCTAGGTCACATGATGCTTACAGATTCTTCTTTAATTGTGGTGGTGTATGTAGTACTTGCACTTTTGTGAATTGTTATGAATAATATTTAAGACTGTATTTTAAATATAGGTGTTATTTAATGGCATTTGTTTTGAAACTGACATTCGTGTTAACTTATGTTCAGTGGTAGTTTTTCTGCAGTCCTTCATGCTCCTGACGTGTGCTGCTGAAAACTGAGGCTTCTGATACTTACAAGTATTCATTACAAGTGTAATGAAAGCTTTAATGATAAATTTTAATGCAGAAGGAGATCCCTGGTAAAATACTTCATTAAAATTGCTCAATTCAGTTTTTAACTATGAAAAAAATTTTCATGTCTGTCTTCTGTATACTTCAAAAGAGCTAGAAGATGATGTTATTTTGACTTTTAAATAACAAGCTTAATCTTGAAAGGAGACTTTGCAAAGAATGCTTGCTCTGCAGTCTTTCTCCCCACAGAATATTGGCAATGTTGACTTTTTAGTGGTGTTCCAGAATGAGACAAATCCTAACACATCACTCCTGCAATAAATATGTATGCTAGAGAAGTTCTGAATTCATGTTTGCAGAGACTTGGGCTCAATTTAATTAAAAATGAGCATCGCTCCTGTATAATCTGATTCATTCTAACAGTGAAAGCTATCTTCGCCAAGACAGCTCTTGTGCTCTGCCCCAGTAAATTTTTGGAAGGGGTTTGTGAATAGGTGTTAGGATTGGTTTTTCTGTATGTGTGTGTCGTGAGGTGAACAGAACTGCTGTTTTCAGGACAGACTGGAATTACTGCACAAATACTGACCTAAATATCGAACTTGGTGACATACTTATTCCAAATAGGTCACTTTCAGATATGCTGATTTAGCCTCAAACAGAATATTTTTAAAAGCTGGAAATGTGGCTTGTTCGTTAATATTGATAGTTCTATACCACAGTGCATTTCTTTCCTCTTACTTTCCAAATACTGGAGTCCTAATTAAGGAAGCTCAAAAGGAAGACAACAACAAATTTGGTCCTTTGTGATCTAATATGTTCATTCTGTTGCCAAATGTTGAAAAATAAGCTTATGCAACTGGGAGGGGGAGCGGAGGGGGAAGAAAGGGACATTTTCATGGCTTTAAAGAATTTTGTCTGCATAAAGTTGGCATGATGGTTCTGGAACCCACACAATTACTTGCAGAGTGATTCTGATCTGCCACTGTTTACTACTTGAACGTCAAACGCAGAAGGACAGGCAAAGAATGTGCAGTTAACAGTAAAGAGGACGTGATGAGGGCTTTCAGTGTTTGCCACTTCCAAAACCTAAAAAACTACACCCTTAATGTAGCAGAAGAGAGAGAGGTTTTATGTATAAGGTGTTACTGAGTGGTGGAACTTGCTGTTATGAGGCTTATATTTGGGGTGTGGTGGTGAGCTCCTGCTGTTTGACACTTCTAACAGCTAAACTTAGTTTAACATTTTTCAACGTGAAATTGCTGTGTAAGTGTTGGCTACTACGCTACTCATGACAGTGGACGGTTTGGCCGGAGTAAAAAGGGTTATCAGTCCTCCGTGTTCCAAGGCATACAATTAAAATGGGGTGTCAACATCTGCCTCAGAAATTCAGTATTGCAGAGCTTATGCAGGGATGTAGTACAGAATTTTATCTTCTTGGAAATAGCGTGCATCACTGGGCATGCTGAGGCGGGTTATCTGACCCCGCAGAACTTCTCCCCTCTCGGCTTTAGAAGAGCAGGAAGTGTGTCGACAGCTTCATGCGACAATTGTTTCCTGCTTTAGTGCTTGGTTCAACTGGGCAGGTAGAGGAAGAGAGGCGATGAGAGGCAAGGGCTATAAATAATGCACGACTGCCTCACATAAGCTGCCTGTGCATGGGCGCACTATACATGTAGATAGGTAGAGATGTACAGGCACGCAGCCGTGTGTGTGTGCACACCATCAGCTTCCCAGGCTGAGTTGCGCAGCTCTGGCTGTAATAACAGCTGTTGCGTGGGGCTTAGGTGCCAGGGTGGATTTGCACCTATGCACAAAAGAACCCTCTTGTTTAAAATACGAGGAATATCCAAAAAGAGATTCTTGATTTAAAAACTGTCAAATTTAAGAGTTTTCTCCTGCGTGACTTTATATTTTCCCTTCCCTGTTTCAGTCACCTTTGTCTTCAAGTCTGCAGTGGAAATGCGTATGGTGTTCCAGACGACCCTAGCCTGCTGTGAAAAAGGAGAGACTAAACTATGATGTCAGTGTACATTTGTGGCGGGTTGACCCTGGCTGGACACCAGGTGCCCACCAAAGCTGCTCTATCACTCCCCCTCCTCAGCTGGACAGGGGAGAGAAAGTATAACGAAAGGCTCGTGGGTTGAGATAAGGACAGGGAGAGATCACTCACAATTACCATCACGGGCAAAACAGACTCGACTTGGGGAAAATTAATTTAATTTATTACCAGTCAAATCAGAGTAGGATAATGAGAAAATAAAAACGAAATCTTAAAAACACCTTCCCCCCACCCCTCCCTTCTTCCTGGGCTTAACTTGACTCCCGGTTTCTCTACCTTCTCCCTGCTGAGTGGCGCAGGGGGACGGGGAATGGGGGTTGCGGTCAGCTCTAACACATTGTGTCTGTCGCTCCTTCTTCCTCAGGGGGAGGGCTCCTCACACTCTTCCCCTGCTCCAGTGTGGGGTCCCTCCCACGGGAGACAGTCCTCCATGAACTTCTTTAATGTAAGTCCTTCCCACAGGCTGCAGTTCTTCACAAACTGCTCCAGCGTGGGTCCCCTACGGGGTCACAAGTC